TCGGGCAGCCGGATCGATGGAGGGGCGGGGGGATGGCTGCGGCGTGGAAAGGTGTGTAGTGTCTGTCTGCGTGTTGGGGGGACGGGGGTGAGGGTGCGGACGTTGGAGTTTCGCTGTTTGGCTGCTAGTGCTGCTGCTGCTACCTCGGCATCAGTCTATCCGCCCACCCTCTTGTTGATTCTCACCTGCTCCTCCTCCTTGGCCCCCTCCCCCCCTTTCACTCACACTCCCAGGTTTCCGTGGGTCGGGATGGCCAAACCCGTTTTGGATCCATCGTTGACTTTGACCCCAACCGTCCGAGGTACAAATGGTACATTAGGTACGTCGGCTACGCCGAGCCAGCGTACGGCGGTACGGGAGAGTGGGGTTGTCTGGACGAAGAGAGGATCACATGGCACACGCACGGCTACAAGCGTCCCGTGCTGTCCGTCACCGGCGGTGCCGGAGGTGTCGTACCGGTGGCGCCGCCGAAGCCGGCGGCGGCGGCTGCCGCCGCCGCCAATACCTTCACGCATCGCAAAGGCCCATTTGGTCGTACCGGCCTCGGTCTGTTGTACCTGATTTCGGCTTCGGAGCCAGGATCTGATGGAAGGTTCCGGGTGCCGGTTATGGCCCTGGGGAACATTCGGGGGGCGTACGGCTCACCTGCCGGCGCGGCGGCGGCGGCAGCGGGGAGCGGGGGCGCCGGCGGCAAGGCGGCCCTGGCGTACGGCGGGCATGGAGGAGCAGCAGCGGCGGGTGGCAAGCCGGAGCGCGTCAGCAGTACGGCATTGGCGGGTGTGCCGGACGAGTACGGCGCATCATTGGTGGGCGCTAAAATTACGGTGGGTATGACGGTCGGCCCCCTTCTCGGCAGAAAACATGAAAAACCTGTAGCTCAGGTGCATAGTTCTAGCATGTATGTACGCATGAACTTCGAGTTCCAATTAACTTAATACGAAAATCAGTAACGGCTCTGGCACATTTATTCCACCTGGATCGCCCGGCGGATCTGTCCTTCAGCATTTACATGGATTTACCCTTTTCATTGCTTTTTCTCCCATTCTAACTCTTAACCTTCCTAACCAGCCAGAGCCAGAGCCGGAGCTAGAGGGTTTTGGGCGTCGCCGTCGTCGGCCGTAAAAAGCTATTAACAATAAAGCTGATCTTAAATAAATGCTCATTTCTTTTCTTCTCTCCGCTCCACGGCCTCTTACCCTCCGTCGGCGTCGTGTCAATACGCGGCCAATACGGCCCTGCAGATCACGGTGGGTCGCGGCCAAGGCCACAAGCGCAGCGGTACCGTCACTGAGTACGACGCCAACCGTCCCAAGTACCGCTGGCGCCTGACGTTTGACAATGTGGGGGAGCCTGCGCATGGCGGCGCCGCCGAGTGGGGCATGTTGAGCGAGGACCAGTCCCTGTGGCTGGCGCATGGATACAAACGCAACATTACGGCGCTATCGGGTGTGCCGGAAAGGAAGCCCAGGCTGGCGGATCCGCCGCCGCCGCTGGTCCCGGCGCCGGCGGCGGCGGCGTCGCCGCCGCGGCCAGCACCGGCGGCGGCTCCGCCGCCGCCGGTGCCGGGACCAGCGCCGGCGGATGCTGACGTGATGGATGTTGGCGGCGTCGCCGTGACCTCGCCCAACTGTACGGAAGGCAACGGGAGGCAGCGTTCGCCGACGGAAGGTGGTCCGGAGGTGTCGGCGCCGGCAGCGCCGCTCGGCGCTGACGGTGACGCCGGCGCCAAGGTAAAAACGGAGGGCGGCGAAGGGGTCAATTCGGAGTTGGATGCTGCGCTGGCGGCTGCTGCGGCGGCGGCGGTGGCTATCATGTACGACGGAAACTTGGAGGCGGCGACCAAACTGGGCATTGACCCTTCCGAACTTGATCTTAGTGTGTGTGAGGTGGAGGAGTTGGGCACCAACCTCATCGGGGCTCGGCTGCTGGTGAGTCCCTCGTTTGCCCCGCGCGCGCTGCCGCTGTTGGGGGCTCTTTTGAATATGGTTATTTTCCAGCTTTATTTAAAAAAAATAATATGTAAATCCTGAAGTTATTTCTTTAAGAGTTTCCTTCTGAAGTAAATATAAAATTCGGTCCTTATTGCCGAGTGTATATACATTATATATGTATTTATATGTGTTTATATCATGTAAGGGTTGCGCAAAAAGACCAACATGTAAGGGTTGGGCTTTTTGCGCACGGTTATCAATGGACTGAATGAGTGGGCTGCGAGCTCCGTACTGTATTTCTCGTCTGGGCAGTGGGATGGCGGGCGGAGGGAGTGGGTAGGGTGGAAGGAGGGAACGAAAGAAGGGGGGGGTAAACCCCCCGGGATCAGAAAGTCGCGCCGGGCCATTTCACACCGAGTAGCCAACAGGTAGAGAGTGCGGTATGCCTTGAGGTGACACGCGCGCGCGTGTGTGTGCGTGTGTGTGTGTGTGTGTCTACTACACATTTGCGTCTTGGTAGAATTGAGCCGTATGTGTGCCTATGTGTGTGTGTGTGTTATGCAGGTGTCGGTGGGCCGCGGGGGAGCTCGTCGTAGCGGCACCATCACCGACTTCGAGCCCAACCGGCCGCGTTACAAATGGCGCCTGGTGTACGATTCGGAGGTGCTGCCCGTCGGTGTCAACAATGCCAACGCCAGCAACGCAGGCGGCGCTGCGGGCACTCCCGCCGCCGATGGCCCCGCCGCTAACCCCCCTGCGCCAGCCGCGGATGCGGCCGCCGCCGTCGCTTCTGCTGACGGCGACGGCGCGGCGGCTCCTGCGGCCGGGACTTTGGCTGCCGCCGGCGCCGCTGGGGGCGGTGAAGCTGGCGATAGCGCCGCGGTCGGGACGGGGCAGGTGGCGGCAGCGACGGCGGCCGCGGCAGAGCCCAGCGCGGCGGCGATCACTGCTGCAACGGCGACGGCGGCGGCGGCGGCGACGCCCAGCAGCCCTGCTGCCGACGCCGGGCCGACTGTGGCGCCCGCCGCCGCCGGCACCGTGGTGGAAGGCGAGTGGGGTACGCTCAGCGATGATCGAACCGCCTGGTTGTGCCATGGCTACAGGCGCGCAATCCTGGCGTCAGAGGGCGTGCCGGCGCTGCCACCGTCGTACATCAACGCCGCTGCGGTAGCCGCGGCGGCGATGGCGGCCGCGCAATCGCCGGTGCGCAAGCGCCGACCGGGCTTTATCGACGAGCAGTCCGTGGCGTCGGCGTTGCTGACTTTGGGCAAGCGTGCACGGCGTGAGGCCAAGGCTGCAGCGGCGGCGGCGCGTGAGGCGCGGCAGGCTGAGATTGCCGCCGCTGGAGGACACGTCATTCTCGTACAGCAGTCTCCGGGGCAGACGCTCGGCCCGGATGGTACGGCAGCTGGCGGAGGCGATGCAAACGCAGACGACGCCACAGCAATGGACGCTGATCGCGCGAAACGCATCAAGGTTGAGCCGGGTACTGGTGGCGAAGTCGGCGTGACGTACGTTCGACAACCGCCAACGGGCATGAACTCGCCGTACGGGGCTGGGGCCGCGGCTGGCGGCGGGAGTGGCGACGGCGCCGGTGGGGACGGTGGCGACGGCGCCGCAAACGTCGGGCCTGTCTCGCCGATAGCCAATCCGGAGGGTGTCGTGGGCTTGGAGATTGAGGTAGATCGTGGCGACGGGCGGCACCGCGGCCGCGTCTTGTCGTACGACGCCAAGAAGCCGCGTCTCCGCTGGCTCGTCCGGTATCACGACGGCAACCAGGAGTGGGGTACCTTTGCCGATGACCTCTCAACGCTGCGCGTGTACGGCTTCGTACGGCAGATTACTTGGACGTCGCGGCCACCTGCCGTCCTGCCTAAGGGCTCTAAGGGAGGCGGCGGCGGCCGCAACCGGTTATCGTCAGGCGCGCGGGCGTCGCCAGCGGCGCCAGGTGTTGTCGTCGCCGGCGGCGGCGGCGCCGCCGCCGGTGGCGGTGCCTCCACCCCTGGAGGACCCGGCGCGCCGCCGTCAGGAAGTGGGGCCGGGCTGGTCCGCGCGCGGCGAAGCTCCGAAAACGGTGACAGCGACTGGGTCGGCGGTACGGGCAGCGGGTACGGCAGCGGCGGCACAGACTACCGGTACATTTTCCGGCGCAACGGAATGTGCCGAGCACAGATCACGCACCAGGGCTGCGCAATCATCAGGTGAAAAAGAGTGGCTGCTGAACGGGAGCTCAGGCTCCTACGGATCCAACGTGTTTTGCATGCCGTACCGTCACGCAGGTTGAACGGGTGATTTCCGATCCCGGCAACCTGCCGGTGTAACGGCTGCTGAGTCAAGTGCACGGCTGTACGGCTGCTGTACGACAACTGCCGCTCATTTCAGTCCCTGATGCAACATATTGTTGAGGCCTTCTTTCAAAACCTTTTTGAAGCTTTTGGCTAAACCATCCCATACCCTTGCCGTGCTCACAGTCCGTACTACGATACTCCCGAGGCCGCCGCCGCCGCGGCGGACTACTACAACTACAAGCTCCGTGGCGCTGCGGCGCATCTGAACCTGGGCCTTACGGCAGAGCAACGCGCCGTACTGGACCAGCTCACCCTCGAGCAACTGCAGTCGTACATTAAGGGCCGTGGCGACATCCACGACTTATCCAAGGCGCTGTTGCAGTACGCGGGTGAGGCGGGGCAGCGGTTGCACCAGCAGCTGCAGCAGCACGCTCAGATGATGCAGGAGCTGCAGCGGCAGCAGCAGCTACTGCTACAGCAGCAACAACAGCAAGACCAAGGCCAGCCGCCGGACAAGCAGCAGCAGCAGCAGCTGGGTCATGACGCGCAACGCTCTCTACCGCAGCAGCAGCAGCAGCAACTGCTGCAGCAGCAGATCATCCACAAACAGCTTCAGTTGTTGTTGCAGCAGCGGCAACAGCAGCAGCAGCAGCAGCAACAGCGGCAGGAACAGGAGAAGCAACAACAGCAACAGGAACGGCAGCAGCAGCAGCAGCTCGCTGCGGAGGATTCAGACGCTGCGGCGGCGGTCTTGGAGACGACGGCGGCGGCAGGACACTCGCGCGCGGCGTCCGCTGACCCCCAGGAGGACCCGATTCCCTTGGCGCCACCACCGTCACAGACGGCGGCACCGCGTCTTACATTGGCCCCCCGGTCGACGCCACAGGCTCCGTCACTGCCGCCGCAACCGGTGCCGCCGCCGCAGCCGCAGCCGCTGGTGCTGCAGGCAGCCGCCACAGCCACTGCTCCTGCTGAAGACCTCCCAGCAGAGGAGATGCAGATTCAAGTTGAGGTCAGAGTAGAGGATGACGAGACCGACGATGACGTACGCCGTGCAGTACCGGATCCGGCCGCCGAGGGCGTGGGAGCATGGGATGACGTCATGGCTGAGATAGGGCCCTTGTGAGCTGCGTCATGTGGTGGGGGCGGCGCGGGGCGGGCCGGGCCGGGGTCCTATTTCCAGGGGAGGAAGACTAGTGGGTCGGGCGCGTGTACGGACCGGGCGAAGTACGGTGTACAATTTCCACTTGGCAAAAATGATTCTACGGGCGCCGTTACGCCGTCAATCAGCTGCGTCGTACATTGGGGTTTGCAGCCGCTGGATGCGGTCTGAGTGGGTGGTCTGGCAAGGATTGGTTGTAATGGTAGTGATAAGGGGGGGAACAGCGACGGGGGGAGGGAAAGAGAAGAGGGGCAATGTGCAGTGTGCGGGTTGGTAGGGAGGTGAGGAGGAGTGAGGAGGATGCCGCTGTTGCACCTGCATATTCGCGTGTTTTATAACTTTGAAAAGCTTGTGGCACTCAACCGGTCGTTTCCTCTTAAGACTTTGGCGCATGTGAGAGGGCATGGGGTGGCTGACCTGACCTTGGCTGCGGCAACGACGGCAACGGCGGGGGATCAAGGTGTACATCAACGACGACTCCAGAATGCGTGTCCAGTGTTCGAGTTGGATGGGCTTGTGGAGTTGTTGCTTTTATGGTGTGTGGGGGAGGCCGCCGCCGCCGCATAGCATGTATACAGTGGGGCAGCAGCAGCGGAAGCTCCGTAGCGGCAGGTTGTGCCTGGAACTTGTATTCACCGCGACGCCGCGCTGCCGAAAGACCTAAGAAGGTTTTCGTTTCCTGAAATTCAGCAGCGCCGCAACAAATCGGCAAGCAGCGGGGGTTTGAAAGTGCAAATGTGGGTTTGAAAGTGCATCAATAACACAGTACATCATTACCGCAGCCATTGTCTCACTGCAGCTATGGGTACTTCTTCCGCAGCCACACATGTTCGGCGCCGCCTGGCTGGCGGCTTATGCAGCGACAGCGGGCGCCAGGGTGCGGGGACGAGCGCTGCAGAGGGCAGCTGGTGGCGGCGGCTTGCCCATGGACTTCTGGGACGCTGAGATACGACGACAGCTAGAGAGACGAGCCGCGTGACGCTGTTTTGTTCCGTACCTGGCATTGCTGCTACACATGTATTGTACGGTGATGTTTGGGGCGGAGGTAAAATGGAGAATGGTGGGTATTGGTGTGTGTATGTGGTGTGGGGGGAGACGGTCTAGGGTGTTAAGGAAGGAGGAGGCGTCGACACCGGAGCTCCGTGCTGACATGAGCTCGCGCTCGCGAAAAGGAAATGGCGGAAGAGAGGAGGAGATGCATCCTGATGAGATGCTCTTGTCATGTGTTTTTCCCGGCTTGGCCTGGGTTTGGCTGCCAGCAGCAGTGGCGCTGGAAGCTGAGCCGTGTATCTACACGTGTAGTGTATAGGAACAATGCATGTCTGTGTGCGTGTGCGTTTGTGTGCCTCTATTTTGGCTGACAGTTACGCTGGTAACCACATGTGCTGGGGAGGCGGCAATCCCGGGGTTTTGTGTGGTTTCGGTGGTTTCAGGCAGTAAGTGCTCCGTGTGCGGCACAGCGGGTTGGGAAGGGGGCCGAGGTTAGAGGACGCAACAGCCCCGGGAGGGGGTTATGACCTAGGGTTGGGCACAGCAGCTGCAGCAGAGGTGAGACATGATAAAAAAAACGCCACGGGGGGGGCAGGAAAGTAGGAAATGGCCGAGAGACTGTGGCGACATAGAGAACGGAGTGAGTGGGAGGAATGCGGAACCAGAACATGAAAAAAAGGTTAGGGAAACTCTCTTTAGGGAAACTCTCTTCTCCGGCGGCGGCGCCGGTGTCGCTGACGTTCTCCACTTCTCCATATGTTTCACGAACCTGGTTTGTTATTGCTGCACGGGAAAGGGGACATGCGGGGACGTTGCCGCGCGCGGCGGCTGTGCGTGAATGGACGCATCTCCAAGGTACCCTGCTCAGTTGCCACTGCCATTTCTGGTTCAGTTGAGCGCAACTGCTGGGGAGTGAGAGAGGAGGAAGAGGAAGCCAAAGCCGAAGGGAGGGTGCTGAAAAGTTGCCCTTGGTCGGAAAAGACAATGGAGGATTTAATATGAACGTCTTCCTCGCACGTCTTTCTTCCCCTGGATTCCGGGACTCCTTTTTTATTTCGGTCGAGCAGACGCAAATTACCGAACAAGTCATGGATGTCCGAATGATGAGGGTTGCTATGATGGCGGTGATATTCTGGCCCGCGACCGCGACCGTGTAGAGGGTAAACGACACAAATTGCGGGAACGGTTTGAAGGAGGAAAAGGATTTTTCTTAACCTCGTGCGCCCGCTTGGGTGCGCCCGTGTGGGTGTGTCGTGCATATGTGCTGAGGTTTAATGAAGAAAAAATTACCTAATCTTCCCTGGTGTGAGCTCGGTGCGTGCTTTTCGTGGCACGAACCGCTGCACACACACATACATACACACACGCACATGCTCAAGCAAGCCTGTGTGACGCGCAATCCTTCCCTCATTACCTGACAGCCCCGCCGGGCTCCCCCGGCCCAACCTCTTGTGGTGAGGTGCAGCAGCCACCCACCCAGTCAAGTACCACCCCTCCCTCCCTCCCTCCCTCCCCTCCCTCCCTCCCTCCCTCCCTCCCTCCCTCCCTCCCTCCCTCTCTCCGACGACATCT